CACGTCATAACTGACTGGCATTTTATCTATGGCTGTTTGCCGGTCTGCTTCTGTCTACCAATTTCAATGGTATTCACAATACCGACCAAACATTTACATGTTTGCATGTGAGTGTGCGAGTGAGTGTGTATGCTTTTGCTACTCCCAACTATCTGTCGGCTGATTTCTGGTTTGCCTTAAAGCTTTTCAGTGGTTTTATAGATTGAAGTTGCTGCTGTTGTTGTCGTCGAGAATGACTTTCCTTTCGAAAGTTTTTGCATGTTTTCTTTTTTGTGTTATGTTCGGTTGTTGTTCTTGTTGTTGCTACTGCTCACCGCTAAAGTTTTGTATTGAATGTACAACAAAGTTTTATTGCTCATTGCTGTTTAACGTCATTTTTGTGCCAACACAGATATCCGACTGCTGGCTCCGGTTGTCGTTCGTTGCAATACCCATGCACACGTACACACATTTCGTTGCACATGTATATCCATACAACACACAGCCACATTTATATCACATTTACAATTTTATGGTTATTTTCAATATATATATCCCCGCTTTTATTCTTTTGAATTTGCTTTAAAAATGAGCAGCAGCAGCAACAGCCAAAAAAAGTATAAGCGAAATCTGTGAAAATGCACAATAAAACTGGGAGAAGGAAAAAATGCAATGATTGGTACACTGAGAAGACAGAAGACCATGAAAGGTTGAATTAAGTAGTACTATGAAGCAGGGATGCGAAATGAAATTATTCAAATTGTACTGGCTTTCAATAAAAAGTGTACTTTTTTCAGTCCGATTGTACTTTCTATATATTTTTTAATAAAATGTTTATTGTTATTAACAATAAATAAAAGCATACATAAAGAATTCATTTTTATATACAAATAGATAAGACTTACACGTCTTATATATAAACATTGTTTTTATTCGGTTTTAGATCGAAATATAGTGATCAATTAAGTTAACATTTTTGCAAAATATTCTTATGTATCTTATGTAACACGACTTTAACACATTCTTTGTCTAGATAAGATTTGAAGCAGTCGAAGCATGTAGTCTGTTCCTTTCGTTGGTTTTAATTATATTTTAATATAATGTAAAAATGTGTGATATATAAGGAAACAAATGTTTAGTTCATTTTTGACTTCAGCTTTGACCAACAAGTGCATAAATTGTCGTTTTTGAATGCATTTTTAATTTGATATTAATTATAATAATAATTTTTGTACATATTGTAAGAACAAAAGTAACAGTAACAAGTGAAAAAGCGTTATTTCTTATTATTTCTTCCAAACTTAGTGCAAGTTCGAAGATGGGGAATATCAGTCCACTCCATCTGGTACCTCCCACAGAGGGACTAGGCCTAAAAGCGGGTTATGGTTCATTATCGAACCTTACGTTCTAGTTTTTTATCTCGATATCCTCCGCAGGGGAAATGATTGCAACAGTCTTAGAACCAAACCCAAAACACGGAACAAATTAAAAAACTATTTTAATATATAACAAAATAATATTTCAGCACCCTATCTCAATTCCTTCAGAAGATAACGTGATTACAACAGACGGACAGACCTAATCAAGAATATATATACTTTTTAGGGTCGCAAAGGAATATTACGATGAGTTACAAACGGAATGACAAAATTAATATACGCTCTATATTATGGTGAAGGGTATAAAAAGGGGATTATATGGGGACTACCCCAAAAAGGGGGCGAATATTAATAATTTTTGGTGGGGAGATTTGTTACCATAAACGACTACAAAATAACAAATTGCAACGCATCCGGCAGAAAGACGCTCTCATGAACCCCAAAATACTGAAAATAGAGGGTACCCTTATATGGGGGCTATCCAAAGTAATGAAACTTTATTCAAAATTTTTGGTGGAGAGATTTGGTACCTATTAAGAGCTCAAAATACTAAATTACAGCCAATTCGGTGGAAAAATACGATCAAAACCCTCAAAATACTGAAAATTAGGAGGTACCGTTATATAAGGGCTACCAGAAAAAGTGGACCTATGTTTATAATTTTTTGTGGAAACATTAAGTACCCAATAAGAACCCAATGTATCAAATTTCAGCGAATTCGGATGAAAAACGCGCTCAAGAACCCCAAAATACCGATAATTGGGGAGTACCGTTATATGGGTGCTATGCCTAAACGTGGACCAATATATCCCATCTTCGAACTTGACCTGCCTGCAGACAAAAGACAAACCTATGCAAAATTTCAGCACCCTGGTGGAGGGTATAAAAAGGGTTTGAAAATTCTGAAATAATAGAATTGAGCCTTAGCTTTTGGAAATCAGCTTCGAAATCATTGAGTGTAAAACAATAATGAAGTGATTCCCACTGCGCCAAAATTGTTTCAACTTCTTGACGTGAAAGCCATCGAGTTGTTGAGTATTTAAAAACAACATGAATATCTGTACCGAATTATTTCTAAAACATTGAAAAATCATCTCCATCATAGAACTGTTACAGAAATAATAATTAATATTTTTACTGAATTTATCAATCTGATCGGGAATACTGAATTTGGAAGCGGCATAAAACACTACGCTTAAACTATGGAGAATTCTTCCATTCATAACGACAGCGGGGGATGGCGATTTATTTAATATTGTATGTTTAAGCACTTATAATAGTTTTAAGTGAGAATAATTTGATACAATTTAGAAATAGTGCTAAATATGTCATTGGGGTGCTATTGTATTTTTGACTTCCAAATAGTGCTAAAATTAGTACAATTGTACCAACTTTTGCATCCCTGCTATGAAGATATTCCATTGCTAAAAGACCAATGAGGTCTTCTTTAGATACAAGAACAATAAGGACTTGTATATATAGAAGACCAATGAGGTTCTTCTGGATAGAACCCAATGGAATCTCCTATGCACATAATACCAGTGAGACCTACACTTGTACGCTGAGAAGAAATCTATTAAGGAAGACTAAGAAGAAATTCCATTGGGAGACCAATGGAATTTCTTGGGAGACCAATGTGGTTTTTTTGTGGAGGAGTCCAATGAGGTCTTCTGTAGATACAAGAACAATTAGGACTTCTATAGATAGAATATCATTGAGGTTTTCCTAAGATTCCTTGAGGACCTTGAGGAACATTAAGGTTTTTTTGGTATTTAAGAATAAAAAGCTCGTCTGGGTATAGATTATTATTAGGAGCTATGAGGTCCAATGATATATGTTTTACACCCACCCCATTTGGAGAACTATATAGCAATTCTACTGTGGATACAAACCATTGAAGTTATGCTAGATCCCTTCTTTGGACAAAAAAAAATAATGAGGCCGTCTATGGAACCGAATGAGATCTTTTCTATATTAAAAGCAATGTAGTTTTCTGCGTATAAGAGATCAATGAGGTCCAACGATATTTTTATATTCTCCACCATATGTTGGACGGTATAGCAAATTTCTCAACTCATTTGTATAATCTCCAAATATTCATCAAACGGTACCATCCTGTTACGATATTCTAAAAGATTCACCCGCATTTTTTACAGAAAGAGCTGTAATTTGGAATTGCGGATTCTTGGAGGACGAAAAAAATCTTGGCAGAAATATATATTTATCCACTAAGTATTTTGGTAGGCCTATGTTCTTCTCCGAAGTGGCTGTAATTTGGCATTTTTCGTGTTCTTGCAGGAAATTTTCATAATTGAGCCATGTTTTGACAGAGACCCTATATAAAGGCCTGAACCTATTTTTGGTAATTAGGTGCTATTGCTTTCATTAAAGATTTCTGGACTTAGTGGATAAAAGACCTCTTGAAATATAATTAATATAAGGGTCTAGACCAAGTTGAGGTTTTATGGTCCTATGTCAATGGTCATAGACTTACGTTTTAACTCTAGGAGGCTTTAATTCGTGATTCCAGGTTTTTCGTAGGTAAAACTCATTGCAGAGAATTTTCAATATAGGGCTATGTTTTGACAGAGACTCTACATAATGACCACAGCCTATTTTTGATAGTCTAAAGATCGTAACTTTATTTTCCCAGTGCTGTCAGGAATATCGGTATTAAAATGATAAACGATCTCTTTATAAAAATCCCATAATGGTTCTAAGTTTTGATATTAGAGTCCTGACTAATTTCATCTAGGTAAAAATTGCAGGAAATTTCCAATATAAAACCATGTTATGATGTAGACGCCATTTGGAGGTCCCAGCTTACTTTTAAAAGTGCTAGTTTAATTTTCCCAGCGCTTTCGATTTTTAAAGGTGCACATTTTAATATGCCATTAAAAAGGTCATAGGCGCATTTTCCATCCGAAGTGGTTTTCGCAGAAAATGTTTTTAGACCCCACATAAGGATCCCCAAAGAATTTAGTTATGCTGAAGGCCTTAACGTTAACTTACAAGCCATGTGTCTACAATTAGGTACTTCGGAGTCTAGAGAATAAAATACCAATTCACAAAATTTGTTATAAGGGTATATTTGCATATAAGGGTATAGGTATTTTAAGTGTCCACCTCATGCCCATGACGTGGAGGAGGATATAAACAACATTTTCGCTCGTTGTAGATTTTAAATTCCATTTTTTTTCTCACCGTGCACAATTATATACAGTAAATGATTTTGTAATTTCGTGGTTGTGGCAAAATATAATGATATTTATAGTCTCTTGTATTTTATATCTGTTCATTTTTTCATTTGTTATTAAGCCATTCAATAATAACTTAATATAAATTGTATAATATCTATGAGAAAAACGATGAAGGAGAAGAGGAGGAAGATGAGCAGAATGACAGATGCAAGCAGTCATGGCAACAAATATATGAATGGAAAGCAATTGAAGGGGAAAACTCCAAACACGCCTGACTAGTTCGACATACAAAAGAAGAAACAAACCCTTTCCCCCAATAATGCAATTCAATTGACATTGTTGTTGCTTGGCTGACTGACTAAATGATTGAATGTCTGTCTGTCTTTCTGCTTGGTGTGGTTTGCTTGTTCATTCACTTGGCATATTGGCCAAGGGTACTTACCATATAATCTTATGATGCCATCTGTTTCACCGCGTGGATTTTTTGCCACACATTTGTAAATGCCATCATCACCACTGCTCACATTGAGTATGGTTAGTTTCATGTGGGTCTTATATGTAGGCACTCCTATGCTAGATTCAACCCTATAAAAGAAAATATTTATGTGAGAGTAATTTTAGATAACAGATTTTCGGAAATGGTCTGAATTTTTGATTTTTTCTTGATTTTTATTTTTGGATTTTGTTTTTTTTTCGGTATGCCCTCAATACTCACTTGTATTTGGTGGAATCATGGATAATTGGTCCCTCACCTCTTGTCCAGTAATTAAGTGATGTGGGATGTGCTTCTGTAAAGCATTCGATTGTTACATTGAAACCTTCGGGAGCGCCAACCAATTGATGTGGTATCAATAGCATGGGAGGGACTGAAAGGAGAAGAAGAAGTGGAAAAAATAAGATAATGTGAAAATATCGTAAAGAAAGTAGAGTAATAATTGGCCAATATTTAGTAAGACCTCCTTTATAAGAGACATGTAATATAAAAAGTATACCTAAAATATGCAATTTTTTTTTTAATTTTTCACAATTTGCTTTAAATTCGAAGCCACAATAGTTGATGACTGTCAATAAGGTACGTTAGTGCCGTGCTTAAGAGGGTCTGTTTTCCTGGTTTACAAAAACAATTGTGTATATATTTTTTATTGAAGTCTATAAATATTTATGAAAGTATTTCTAAAACTTCAAGTTCTAAAACTCCAAGTTTAAAATGTAAAAATGTCCTTATGATGTAGGTCCTTCATACTTTGAATAATGTTAAAACCTTATACACTTAAGAGACGATTGAGGTTGAATCCTAAAATTAGTCTCTTCAGTTGGAAAATACTTGTAGGACTCTAAAAATACCAAAAGTGGGCGGAATCTGCATACGATTTAGGTTGAGAAGACTGATGCGGTCTTATTTAACATATTTATCCATAGACGGGGACTACTTTAGTCCATTGATGGAATACCCCATTGCTATCTCTCTAGAGAATGGTCATATTGATGTATTCCAACTAAGAGATCTTGATAAAAAATTGTTTTCGGCTTCGATTGGCAAGTATAATGTGGTGGGAGTTATATGGTTTTTTATAGGAAACTGTCTGTAAGAAATCAAACTTACAAATATTTCAAAATGTCACATTAAAATCCCAGGTGAAATTTCAGCAATTAAAAATCGTTAACCTGACCCCTGACGATTCCTCTGCCATGAAGTGTAGGATTAATGAACATATACTGAATTCTCGCCTTCGATTGTAAAGAACCATCTACATACCTAAAAAGTCTGCAGGAATACTGTTATTCTCTTATTCTCAGAGAATAACCTAGGAGGACCTTCGAAGTGCCAAACATAGGTATATCGAGCTTTATATGGAGCTATGTCAAGTCTTCGAATTATTTAAAACTTCTAAAAGTCTGTTATCTTAAATTATAGCTTCTTCCAATGGAAAATGCGGCTGAGGCTTTGAAAAAAAATCGTTTTTACCCTTGAGAGACGGAAGCGGTTGTGAGTACCACCTGCTAACATCATCGAAACTTGTGGCGCTATATTCTGAAACATTGAATTTTCAATTATAGCATCTTCCATTGGAAAATAAAGCTGGGACTTCCAAAGGCGTTAAATTGGGGTTTTACCTTTGAGAGGCCAAAGTTCCAAATTACATAAATTTAGGAGTAAATACGACTAGGTTCATGAAAATACCTTTATATGCGTATTGTGTAATAATTTACTTCCAGGACATATTTAATTCTCTGAAAAATCGAAATGCCAAATTATAGTCGCCTTGGTTGGAGAAAAATGCGATTAAAACCTTCAATGAATTAGTTTTTTTAAGCTTTACCAAAACGTGGAACGATATAAATGAAAATGTAGTTGAATTCGGACTTAACCCTTCACAATTAAATTGGTATTCCAAATATCTAAAATCGAACCAAAACTTCACATGGGCATATATTCCTATTTTCCAGAAGGTTTTTGAGACAAAAACTACATAATTACAAGTTTCGCTGAGGATCATTAACATATCGTCAACAGCTTCACTTTCTAACCCTGGAATGTTTTCCAAATCCTGTTTTTCCAAGGTGAATATTAACGTCATAAAATACAAATTTGGTCACTTTAGGTTTGGTTTAAATTGACCCTCGGAATATTGACCGAACATCATCTAAACAAACGTTCTAAGTATTTGTTCAGATCCCCATTACCGTGTAAAAAATTGACGTTACGCATATAATGATGTCCTCTAGAGCGACTAGAAAATCTGACAAAAATATAGTTGTCGGTTCATTGCAACATTGCATCTCAACATCACCGAAATTATAGGCGTCGTCCTTTACCATAACCGAAAATTCATGTAAACTTCATGTGGGGTAATATTAATACTAACAGACGGACGGCTGGACGACCGGACGGAGAAAGATGTCTAGATCGACTTAGCTAGTCGAGATGTGACGATCGGAATACCTAAGGTTGGCTCAAGGACCAATATTTCGTGGCAATATAAAATATTGGGGCCACACAAAGCTATAATACCCTGACACCTGTTGTGTTGGATAAAATTAGGCACTCCGCTTGAAAAATGCGTCTGGGAATATGCAAATACCAAAAATGGGGCGCTATCTTGGTTGACCTATATATAATATTAGGTTGGGAAAAATAAATCCATTTTTAAATGGTTTTCAAACAGTTATGGTCGTTTTTTAGCTTCTGGGCGATGTTACGACTGCTAACATGCCGGCCAACTTCGATAATTTCTCCGAATTTATCGACATTTTCGACAAACGGCCTACCTGTGCGAGGTGCATCTTTAACATCAAAAAATCCTGAACGGAATCTGCGAAACCAGAATTGCACATAATTGGCTGTCACAGTATCGGAACCTTCATTTTTGCCTTTGTCAAAGAAAAACTGTAAAATGTACGAATTTATTCTTTGTTAAGTTCCATTTTTAATACCCTGTAACTCACAACTAAATGCACCAAACAAAAAACAAACAAAAAAATATTTTTTTTTACTGCGAAATGTCACTGTTCCCACGAGCATAAATCTGAAATTGTTTGATCGATAGTGTACGAGAAATCTATCAGTGCAGCCATGTGCCGAAAAATAATGAATTTCTTTTTCAAACGAATATATTGCGATTAAAAGACGCGCAGATTCTCCTTCTACGTATTCATTACTTCTGTGTATATTTCAAGAAATTCTTTTCATCCCTTGTAATGTATGAGCAATATAATCATCATACGTCGCTGTGGACCAAAAACACACCCAACCGCGGATTAATTGCAATACTTTATATATTGCGAAGTTAATCGTGACTTCGAAAATATAGAAAGATGTAGGTATCCATCCTCCTTCTACGAATTCATAACTTCTGGATACACTTCAACAAATTAATATTATCCCTTGTGACGTATGAGTTCTGTATTCATCATACGCCAATGAAGGCCATCACACGTAAACTCACGAATTGTCCTTCTATGGAATTATAATTTATTTGTTACCTATAATTAACAAAATTTCTTATGAATTTCCTCCAAGGACTCTCTCTTCCCCTTATTAAAAATGTAAACCGCTCTAAGTTCTAACCACAACCCACTAATTTAATTTCATTTGATTACATTTTCCTTTAGCCACAACTAAAGACAAAATTCTAATTCGTATAACCTTAGCCACTGGGGTGTGGCATGTCAGGCAGGGTCTGTTCATTGTTTCTCCTGTGGAAGGACTTTCATCTCTTATTTTTCCATGACAAACTGGTGCCGCAGAATCAATTATGGAAATTAAATAATGCAAAGTACCATCTTACAAATAATTCAACGGCTGTTTTCCATATCTTTCAGCACCTTAAAAAAGTGCTGCTAGTAAACTAAGGCAAAGAAAATAAAAGAAAGGTTGCTAACAAACAAAGAAAAATGTCAACTAATACAAAAGAAAAGCGGGGGTGAGAAAGGGAGAAACTTTTATTCATACCACACACACACTTATATACGTTCACAAAATGTAAGAAAAGACAACCAAGTTGAATTATAGTTTGGCGAATGCCACACAAAAAAGGTTATCTTTTCAATAATCCGAGCATGGTGGTTTCTAGGCATTCTTGACTCTGATTCTGTTCGTGGTCTTATGTTTTTTTGTGTGCGTTAACTTTGCTGAAAGAAATGCTGAAGAATGTCTTAAAACTACATTTGCCTTTACACTTACCATGGAAATCTTCATTTAAATAAGCATCTTGGTGTTTTTTACATAATTCCCAGTTACTTACACTAACTAACATACCATGGAATATTTCCATAGGATTCTCCCTTTTCTTCCCTGCACCAGTTCAGTTCACAAAATTCACTTGCATAAGCAATGAATGCATTTCGCCCCGGAAAAGCCGCCACAAAACAAATATTTCCGCTTCCTATAATTCATAAGTAAGCCTTACAGTTCTTATTATGAAGTTATTCTACATTGGTGACACTTGTGGTGTGAACTCTATCACCTAATGGAATTGGGTGTTGGTGGTGTGTCACAAGGGAAAGAAGCGTGGAATAGAGAGAAGAGATGAATACTGAAAACATCTTGAAATATCTTATGAATAGTTTGTTAGTTCTTAACAAAAAAATATGTATGTGAATGTGAATTGAAGGGGAAATATTTGAATACCGTGGTTTGATATACGAAAAACGATTTTGGAAAACTTTGCAAGAAATAATTTTTTTAATGGCTCCACAAGAGGCGTGGATTTTTTAAATACTTTTTTCAAGGTTTCACAGAAGGTGTTGATTTTTTTAAATAATTCTTTTGAAGGCTCCTCATATGCGTAGATTGTTTCAATCATTTTTTTATCAAGGCTCCCCATAGCCGTGGATTTTTTAAGGGAACCCCTCCCATTCTCGATTTTAGTTTTTCAAGATTTTCAATGGCCTGGTAAATCAATACCAATGCTTATTAAGGTTTGTAACTTTGCACATATATATTTGAAGATTTAAAAAGGAAGAAAAATAATTTACAAAAAATGTTTGTTGTTATCTTGTTGTTGTTTTTTGTAATTAAAGAAAAGTCCTTATTTTTGATGGCGGGCATGATAACTCCTCACTGGAACATCGGAATTCGAAAATTCCAACGGTGTTAGAAAGAGTACATGTCTGGCTCTCGTATGAACTAGGATTATTGACCTCGTTCTAAAATTAACAAAATGGCGGACCTTTGAAAAAATATTTTTGGAAAATCGCCGATTTTTGACCAAAAACCAAGTTAAAAAATAAGGAAGATCTTCACCGATTGGCTTTATCCTAGTTCATACGATAGCTATACACTCACAGAGAAACGTGTAAAAATTTGGAATCGATTGGGTTAATAGTTTTTGAGTTATCGTGCCCGCCATTCGTTTAGGGAAAA